CATTTTATTATGTAATTTCAACATCTGGTCTTGCAGACCCGAAACTCCAACAGTAATTGTATTTAGGGTCCCTTGGAACTCCCTGAACCATTTCTCTTGTCCTTTTATAAGATCAATCAGAGATTCCAGGTTCTTGTTCATTACATTGAAAATTGGTATTGGGGCTCTTTCCCCTTCAACAACGGGCCCCATATCAAATGCTACGGGAGGTTCTGCTCTAATCTCATGCTGACGAATTTCAGAAACATCAGGAAGTCCCTCATCTGGACTGGTAAGGAAATTTTGTTCCTCCTCTTGTAGGTCCAAGAATTTATCATTGACCTGCAAGACATTTCAGGTAACAGAAACCTTAATTACTATTCTTAAAATAAGTTATTGAACAATAGTGTAAATGACTTGCATGTTCACTCGTCAGGCTCTTAAAGGCCACATCTATTTGCGAGGAGTTCAAGCTAACAGCTGTTGGCCATCTCAACATCGTCGGTCTGACATCAGCATTGACAGGCGTTACCACAGAAGTATGCTAAAAAAATTAGAGCTGCATAAAAGATAGACAATATTGAGCATAAAAGATTATTAGTAAACATTAACCATGCTCAAGATCTACAATATGCTGACCGTGAACAAATAAAGAAACCCATTTATGCATCCAATCGACTTGTTCCTCAATAATTTGATGGCCACTGAATTGATTTGTTCTATAAGAAAATCACAGATCACAGCAGGCTAATTAAATGAGGCAAATGTCTCTATGTTCTCCCCAAAGTTGTTAAGTCCTTGGGAAACACTAAAATTGCTCGAGCAAAAGAATAGATTAGATAACAAAAATTTTATAAACAATTTAGCAAAATGGGTAGAAGACCCCTCTCTTGCGAAGTCCAAGAGATTGTTCCTCATCTGCTGGGCATTCACGCCACAAAATGGATGTTTACTCCACTTTGACATCACTTTGGCACTGCACCTCTCATGCCAATTAGCAGGGCAACTTCATCGGGCAACAACCGCAACTCCTTCCCTCCAATTTTGAAAACCATTTTATCTTGCTGCCAACATTGCAAGATCTGTAGTGTCAAAACATTATCTTGCGGATATGGAGGGAGGTCGAAAAACTGTACAACATTCATTGTTCTTAGCTCGTCTCTGATATCCTCGGATATTGAATGCCTCATTTTATCCAACCATACTGATACTCCACTAAATTAAAACATAATAAAGCAAGATTAAAACCACGGTAACACTGTAGGGCACCAAAAAATTTACGTCGGAAGTAGTCCCATTAATACCACCACAATAAGACTCGAATAATA